CACCAGTGGAAACTCTCAGAGGGGGCGAGGGAGCGGGCTCGAGGAAGGGCCAGGACCCGGGCCCCAGGTCTCGTCTCTGCAACACCCCGAGTCTCATTTCCTCGCTCCTCTTACCTTTCGGTAAAGGGCGGGGGCGGGGCAGGAAGCAGCCACGCGGTGAAACGAGCCGGCTCGGACTGGCCACCGGCCGGCGGCGGGATGGGGCTTCCTTCGCAGCGCCCTGCGCGCGACCCTAGGCCGGAGCTCGCTCGGGAGCCAGCGGGCTGAGGCTGAGCTCGCTGGGATCCGCCCTGGGCGAGGGAGCGAGGCTGGCCTGAGGGTCGGGGCCAGGTCCTCTGCCCCTCCACCAATGAAAACGGAAACCCGGGGGCGCCTGGGGTCCGGATGACTGGCAGATAACCTGCAAGTGCGGTCCAGCGGTCTCCTCAGCTTGCTGTTGATGATCCTGATCGATTATTTATTTATTTACAGCTGCTCACCGCCCACCATATCTTTGAGCCGGCTTCTTCGTGGAATCAGTTGATGTTATCAGTCAGTCAACAAAATGTTTGCAGTCATACAGTGTGTCAGGCATTTAAATAGACAATAAGTGGGTGAATAAATTAAAATAAATTTAATGTATTTAACCAGGGATTTTCAAACTTCTTTGGCCATAAGAAGCAAACTTACTAAAAAACTTACTGAAAGCTTACTAAAAAACTCAGATTTTCAGATGCTGTAGCCCATCCCCCAAATCACAAATCCAGTCTCTAGATACAGGAAGGGTAGTAACTATGTTTTTTAACTAGCCCTCAAGTTAATTCTGATGACATGGTGAATTTTAGAAATGCTGACTGAAACCAACTAGAACTTAAAAAGTAAGACCTGGTCTCCAAACACCGGACTGGTTTTGAGCTGCAGTGCAAATGAATTGCCTCACCAGGCCATTTTGCTGGCTCCAGTATTTAGCCCAGATCTCCCTGATCGGGTCACAGAACATGCACCTTAAAATCACGTGGGGGGGG